TATTTAAATTAATCCGACAACCTTAACCTCTGTTTTCAAATGACTCAGAGTGTTGTCCTTTTCCCTGATAATTTCATTTGTATTCATATTTATCTACTTTTGAGGCAATAAAGATGAAATACACAGACTCAGAGTGTCTCAAAGGTTTCCTCAAATTTAAGCAGCCAAGTGAGTCAGACAGTGAATCAGGCGTAAATAAAAGCATAGTTATAAAACATGCAGATAAAGTTCAGAGGTTCAGCTGCTTTTAAAACTGAAAGCTTAACGGGGCAGTATGTTTGATTCAAGCGACTTGTAGCTTGCCGTGTTTGCCCGCTCCAGACACTCCGCTTTCAGCATCTCAGACATGGCCGCCCTCCTGGGGTTGTCATGCACTATACAGTGTCAAGTTTCCTGCAAGACTAAAACATCCATCTAGCAGTCCTCTGGGCAAAAGTGCTCCTTTATTTTCTGGAAGGGCCGTGTTAACAATCTGTGGGGCATTTACGCCTCAGTATGTCTGCGATATTCAGGCTTTTGTCCCCAGGAAAACACACCATATCCTTACTCAGGAGCTTACACAAATTTGGGGTGAATGTTAAAGGTTGTGTGAGTGTTTTCCTCTTCTCTCACTCAGAAAAAAAAAAAAATCAATTGCTTTTCGGATAAAAATCCACAAAATGTTGCTCAACCACAGTGGGGGGCAGTTAAAAATTACAATTTGACATCTTGATATGTGCCTGAGTTAAAGGTGGGGTAGGCAGGATTCCGGTAAAGAAGGATCTTTTTGTGGTGTAGGTACAAAAAAGCTTTTAATATCAGTCAATAGCTATTAGTTATTGATGACATTTGGTAATAAGCCATTACCCCCCCCCCCCCCAAAAAAAAAAAAAAACATCGGAAAGTAGAAACTAACCAGAAAGTACAGAAAACACAAGCTATAAAAGGAAGTAATTACCGAAGACTCTGGCGGAATAACGGACGCTTAGAATGGAGGTGGACCGGACAAGAGCTAAGAAGCCTGGTCAACTTCAGCATAAACGATGGGGGACACTTCCTGTAACCTTTCTGCTGGACAGGTAAACCGTTTTAACAAAGTAAGCCAAGTGTCTGTAACAGAAGTGTTTCTTGTCAAATGGGACCTGCTGCCTGTTGTAGCGCCGCTAAACTGTTTACCTCGGGTCCTGGAGTATGTCACTTTATCCTAGTTCTAGAAGTCCTGCAAACATTGTGTTTGCCGGTAGTCTGTTGGCATCTACAGTAGCACCAATGCTTTTTACCTTCACGTTGACTGAGTCCCATTTGTAATCAAATGTATTTAACTGCAGTATATCTGAATTTGATTGGAACGATACGAGCGAGCAGGAGCGTCTGTTTGTGGGCGGGGCTTGTTGGAGCAGAGACGAGGGGAGAGGAGGAGCTGAGGGGAAAACTGGTTGGGTGGTGTTTACGTTCAAGATTTCTACGCAAAAACTTGCACTTCCTCAGATCCTGCCTACCCCACCTTTAAGTATAGGCTCATGTGCTAATAAGAACTATTCTTTCACGCTTTGCGATTGTGTTTTTTTCTATTTAATTTTGCAATTAAACTTTTAAACGTTTCTCTTTGTGTCTTTTTAAAAATCAGAGACTACATACTAATACCAAGAACTCACTAGACTATGCCAGAAACTCACTATATTTCTGCTAAACTGAACAAGACAGAGGTGATGATTGAAGCAGACTGAGACCTCAACACGAGGCAGTCACTCGTTGCTTTAAGAATCTGAACATCAGTGGCTAGGGGAGGCAAGTCAAAGGAGAATGGCAAAACTTGTCCAACTTAATAGGCCACAAATAAATGACAGCCAGTCCAACAGCAGTGTGCAGAAGGACATATCAGCGAGCACACATCATTTAACCTTGAATTGGATGGGCCACAGCAGCAACAGCCTGTGCCTCGCTCCACTCCATTCAGCAAAGAACAAGAAAATGAGGCTATATGTGCCATCAACAGAGCTGTAGGACTGAGGGGCGGAAAAGTGCAATCTGACATACTAGTGTCAGGGTCAGGATGTGGCCTTCATGATGTACGTTTGATTCAAATGGATACATGCAGCAAAATATATGCCGTGCCACCAGCACACATTGCTTCAAGATTTTTTAACAGCATGACAGTGACACTAGTTTTTCCTCCGACAGCCTCTGCACCCTTCGTATCTCAAGCAAACAGAGCCCCTTTGGAATGTGTTGATAGCACAGCGAATGCATCACTATGGAGTCAGCATCGACGAGACCTCCCTGAGGAATGTTTACAGCACCTTGTTGAATCCATGCATCCACTAAATGGCGAAAAAGGAGCTCATTAAATACATTATGTAGGCTAAACAATTATTTTGGAGACCCAAACCACAGCTTTCAATCCCAACCTGGAAGACTCCGAGTCAAGAATAAAAGCAATTTCCTGCAAATCCTACCTGAAATTGAATGGCAAGCACCATGACAGCTGCCCGGTGAAATCATTATACATTAAAAAATGGTGATTGAAGGAGAGAGAATATCATGATTTTAAATTAGATTCACATTTTCAAAGTTATCACATTTCATTTTCAGTGCAGAGATAGTGTCAAGCTCATATTTCCCATTAATCATCAAGTATCAGGGGCATTGCTTTGACATCTGTCATGCATATGTAATTACTCCTCGGCCTTTTATCGAAATTACTGAAACAAGCGTCTCCCAGCAAATGCTAAAATGTTGCGTGTGTGTAGATGTTCGCGTGTGTGTCAGTGGATGTCTGTTAGGCTGAGATCATTATTGATCAGGTTTTATGACACACTATTACGACTTCTAAATAACAATTATAGTGGCAGAAACAAGGGCGAGTGCAGGGCTCAGTCAGATAAATTATGCCTTCCTGTTGCGGTGCCTGCACTAAATTAATGAGGATTTATGCTCTCAAAATACACAGAGTGACCAGAAACGGAAGCAGCTGTTTGCAATCAAAAGTAATGTATATTCACTCTGTACTTAGGTCACGGATCTGTATTTTATTTATTTGCATTGTTTTGGTGTCAGTTTTTGTGATTTCTTGATTTTGTGTCTATGTGAGGCTCAAATGTTCATTGTTCATTCAGAGACATTGTCAAGTAAGTTCTTAAGATAATTTCAAAACCAAAAGAAATAAGATTACCTAATGTTTCAAAAAGAATGCAAGAGTGAATAAGTGGAACTACATTATCTAATGGGCATTGTAGTGCATGAAACGTGTTATCCATGTTGTCCAAAAAAAGGCCACAGTTGACAAACGCAGCAACAATAATAGAGATTAAATCCCTTCTTTTGACACATTTGGTAAGTAACTAGACTAGCTTACTATCCAGTCCGACAACCATCACAGAGTCATAGCAATAAAGCTACACATTAAACATGTTGTCCATGTTATCATACAAAAAAATGATAAAAATAAAAACCAAAAAGTCAAGATGTCAATTTTCAAAATTCAATAAATTCAGTTGAAAAAACAAAACAAACAAGAAAACATTAATGGTGACATTAATGGTAGGCTAATAGACGGGTTTCTTGTGTACAAACAATACTAGGTGTGCGCGCAACCAGGGGGCAAAAGCCTGCTTCTGAGTGAACTGATACCATTGAAGATGCTGTATTGTTTGCAAGTTCTACCTGACACAATTGCAATAAAATGTCATTTCATTCCTGCGATGACACTGCACAGAAACCTATCTATTCAGTTCCTATTTTTGACCATAGACTGTAAATACTCTGGACAACTTGGTTCCTCCTTTCGCCAGTTTTCTCTCCATTTCCTGAACCAACATTGTGCAGTAGCATTGTACGCATTCAGCAGGAGAGTCTCTGTGAGGACACTCGGCTCAAACAGTGTATCCCCCGGGTGAGCTACGCAATCTTCGTACGCCCATAGGCTGTATCATGTGTCAATCATAGAAAACATGAACCCCTAATAATTTTTAAAAATGGAGCTGTACAGAAAAAAGAGGACTTGGGCACAAACCAGTCTTACAGTAACTACATGTCAACATCGCAACCAGGGGGGAGAAAAATTTATATTCTGTGTAATAAATTTCAAAAGTTTGTCCACATCTCCATAATTTTTGCTGTTGGAGGTGGGATTTATGACCTATACTGGAGCCTGTCACCAGAGGGTGCTGTTTTCAGAGTGGCTTCACCCAGCGAGGAGGCAGATGGCAACCATTTTATACACAGTCCATGTTTTTGACACAACAGTTGGTAGTTGAGTAGCCCGGCTAAACTAGCTTACTGCTTAGCTTAAAGCTAGGCTATACAGTTGCCACAATGTCAGGCTAAACTAGCCTACTGCTTAGCTTAATGCTCGGCTATACAGTTGCCACAATGTCAGGCTAAACTAGCCTACTGCTTAGCTTAATGCTAGGCTATACAGTTTTCACAATGTCAGGCTAAACTAGCCTACTGCTTAGCTTAATGCTAGGCTATACAGTTTCCACAATGTCAGGCTGAACTAGCTCACTACTTAGCTTAATGCTAGGCTATACAGTTGGCACAATGTCAGGCTGAACTAGCCTACTGCTTAGCTTAATGCTAGGCTATACAGTTTTCACAATGTCAGGCTGAACTAGCCTTCTGCTTAGCTTTATGCTAGGCTATACAGTTTTCACAGTGGCAAACTTTATAAACAATTAATTCTTCATAGAGGCAATTTTATGAAAAAAAAAGTAGCTAATTGTAACATTATTGCTTCTTTGCAATAGGCCTACCATTTTAACCATCAGCGCCATAGTGAAAATACATTGAGGCCTTTTTTTCCCCATACTGTCCCCCGAAAAAAGATATGATTTTTAGTGGACTGACATGAACGACGGGAAACTCTTTTATTTTTTATTCTATTATTTATTTTTCATTTGAAAGGATTATCTTTAAGCTGTGGCTCCTGACTTCTAGTATGCTGCTCCCTGAACCAAGACCTCCATTCATCTTGTATCTGACAGACGCCATCCATTCCTCTTTGTCCGGGCCAGGTTTTGATGCAGCGCCGCCACTTGCAGGAGCACTTGGATTGGCTGAAGGAGCAAGGTAGCCCGCAGAGACGGTTCCTTCCTTCCCCACGGTTCAGTCCCGTCAGTGGAGCGCGAGGCGCGGTGCACGCACACACGGCTTACACACACTCGCCTACACGCGTGGAAAGGTGCAGAGACACAGAGAGGGACTCACCGGAGGACTTTGATTTTTTTATGGTGTGTGGGACCACACGGAGCATGAATTTGCCATCAGGACATCGATCAACATCTCAAGATAAACCAAGTGAAGCTCTGAGGGGAAAAGCAAACAGACGCAGATTTTAACGCAACATCTATCCATGCGGAGGGCGATGCAGCCGTGTCTTGTTTCATAAACTGTCACAGTTTGCATGAGTGCAAAAACACCGCGTTGGACTTATCTTCTCTGCAAAGCCATTTTCATCTTTCACGTGTTTTTTTCTCCTGACGTGGTAATTAACCTGCAGCGAACTACAACGAGCGACAAATAGTGTGTTTGTTTGAGCGCATTTACTGAGAGACTCGGACTTGCCTCAGAGCGGAGTTTGACTCCTCATCATGGGGTACGGTGCCCAAACTGACAGAGAGAGAAGAAGAGTACCGGGATCTTCTCCTGAGATGCTGACTGTCTCCTGGCTTTTGATTTGTCTCCTGGTGGACACCGGAACGGCTCAAGGTAACATAAAAAAAGTGTTTTTCTGACCCGTGAACTCGGCTCTGCTGTGGGTAAAAGTTCTCCAAAGTCCTTTAGGATGAAGTGGGCAGAAAGAACCACGTGAACCTGTGTTACTCACACTCAAAGTTGAAAAGAAAATGCATCTGAATGATCCCCTTTTTCACTGATGTATTTTAGAGTCTAAACTTAGATGAAATCAGTGCAATTGGGCCAAAAGGATTCCAATAACTTGGATAACTGTTCAGAAAAATAAGGCTTTTAACGCCTCCATGGAAGCAAATGTGAGAAAATCTTCACACTTCTTCTTAAGAGGCTGGATTTGCTTATTTCACTTGTGAAAACCACAACTGGCGATTGTAAACACCAACACTCCCACTATCACATCTGTTTCTCCAACAGAGCGCCAAGATATCATCCAAATGGAAATGAGCACATTCAGGCAGCTGTTCAACATCTTTTTTTAAATTAATTGTTTAAATCACCACGTTTGAGCTGATATACTGAAATGGAAATGACAAAAATAACATGAAAAGGCTCATTTAAATCATAATCTCTCCCCAAATTAATCCCTTAAGATTGTCATGCACTGGGACAAAAAAACAAAGCACAAACCTTGTTTAACCTATCCTGTAGATAAAATACAAACTCCTCATCCCCTGGCGTTATTAAAACCAAATAAAATATGATTTCTGACTCATGCCTAGTTCCTACTGCTGTTAATTTAGTTCCATCCGGACATTAAGCACACTGTTAAAACCTTCCAGATGATGGGCTTAATGTTTCATTCATTTGCTTTCACTGGGCCGCTTGCCTTGACAAATAATTCCCAAATGATTAATTCTTTGGTAATCTTGTTTTGACATTTATGAGAAGTTGAATGAAAACAGGATATCCAGCCTTCTCGAAAGACATGAGCATCCTCTGGTTTTTAAAGTGAAGTGAAGTGAAGTGAAGCTATTACTGCCTTCATTTGTCTTGACCTTTGCAAGGAGGGCTGCCATTTGTGAGAACTTAATAATCTATATGTTTGACATACAAAGTGATATTTGAGATGATCTTTCTTTACACGTGTATCTTTTTTAATCCTTTAAATATCATCCTTTTTATTTAGTGGAAGCAGAGAGCATATTTTTGATCTTTAGTGTTTCCTCAGCCTCCTCCTTCAGTGCACTGTCGTTCGTTGAAAGATGTTTGCTGTAAACCGTGGTTGCTGTCTGTCAGTGGTGGAAAAGCATTGAGATAATGCCACAACACCTGAAGCCATTTACTTAATCTGCTCTCTCCTGAGTGGGATTGTCTGTCAAACAAAGAGGAGCCCATCTGTGTGAGAGTGGATGTGCAGTATGTGTCGGTGCATGTGTGTCAGACTCCATGAAGTGCCTCTGGAATTATGGTAGGTGGTCTGTCTGTAAGAGGAAGCGGAGGGAGGCAGCTTCGGCGGTTTTAATGGCCTAAAATGTGTACTTTTTTTTTAAAATTGGAGGCTTTGCTACTCATGCAAAACCAACACAGGCTTAAATTTGAGGTCCGAGCACATATCTGAGACAGGGCCGAGGGTCTGCGAGCAACCTTATCTGGCTGCTCCAGACCTTCATTGCACTCCTACATAGTTAATGAGGAGAAGAGGAGGAGAGGGGAGAATGAAGGAAGAAAAAAAACATGCACAGGGCAGGTCTGGTTTCTGAAGGGCAGGGTGAGATGACATAATACCCGTCCCAAAACCCCCCAGAGAGAAGCCGTGTCATTGACTGGATGGGAATACGAACAAGGTCCTTCTCTGTCCATTAAGCAGTCGATACAGCAGGAGAACATTGTTTGAGACTAATTAATGGGCCTCGCTATTTTTGGGCCGCTGATGAGCTCTACACATTCCCAAATCACTGGAGAGTCACTTCTTCTGTGTAAAACTACTGGTGATTAAAGTGGCTCACTTACTACTAACACCATGTTTTCCTGCATACATTTCCCAGTCTTTTTTTTTAACATTATTTTTGTATATTTAGCCCCATTCCTCCTTACGATTGCAGTTTACTTTTCACTTTTTCCAGTTTGAGGACATACTCTCCCCTCTATCTACAGGCAGAAAGGAGTGAGCACTGGGAAATGAGAGTGCTCATTAACCTGCTGAACTCTTGACAAAGGAGACAGGTTGAGACAGATATAAGCTGGGAGCTGCCAGAGTGGTAGCTGCTGAGCGCTCCGTGACAGTAGCCTGATTGGAAACCCTCGGCGCAAGAACAGATGGACTTCTGGTATTTCCAGCTCAGCGTCAGAGCTGTACAGTATGTGCAGAGTCTGTGTCTGCAAGCATGTTGAGTTAAAAAGTTGATGGGGGATGTCAAGTGCTTATTGGAGAATATGGGATACCTGGTTGTGGAGGTGTGTGAAAAAACAGGAAGAAGTGTTCGAGAGAGTGTTTTCCCTTTTGGGGAAAGTGCATATGCAGCTTGTTTTTTCTCGTATGGACAGATCTTTAGTACATTTTCTGTTGTTTCACACAGAAAGCAACATTTTCTTTATTGATTCAGCAAATTAAATCTCCACCTGGGGGCAGCTGTGTAAAGACAAGGAGAACAGGATAAAGGAGAATTGGTCAATGTCAGCACATTTAGACATGGATTTCACATCAGAGAGGCTATTAAGATAAAAAAAGTATTTGACATGCTAAAAACATGATGACATAGAAAGAAATACAAGTTTTCCCAAGTGTCAGTGCTTTATTGTATCCTCGTGTCAGGCCTGCCTGCTGTTAGGCCACTTTTTCCACCATACGTCTTTTATGCCTCTCTCCTGCTATCACTCCATGTCTCTGCCACCTCACCACTCTCTGACGATGTATCCATGAGGTCTGTTTTGGGAGGGAAAAGTTTGTAAGAATCTTATTCATACAGAAAGAAAAAGTTGTCATTTGGCTTTCTTTACTTCATTCAACACTGTTCAGTCTCATCTGAGCGCTGCTTAAAGAACGCAGGTAGAAGTGAGCGCTATTTTTTAACATTATGATTCAAACTGACTTCCCTGTGGCCTGACAACTTTCTCCTCGGGGGCCTGCTAACATTACAACCACTGTGGCCATTCTATAAACAGGGCCTGTGTGCACAATGAGGACATTGTGCAAACTGAGCAGTTGTGTTGTGAATCACCTCCTATGATAGCCCCCCTTTTTTTTTCCTATCATCCATTAGTTCGCATAATGACTCACTTGCTGTCAAGCTATTTTGACGTTATTAAAGTAAATTTAGATTCAGCGACACTCTTCTCCGCTTTCAGGTGAGGAAAGAGGGCACAGCGAAGAGAGTGTACACTACGGTGTGACAGGGCTGAGTGGGGTCAGAGGTGCGTGCTGGTTGCTAGCAGAGCCACAGAGGGAGTGTGGTAGTGAGTGATAATTACTGTGAATAGTTGCTGCTGAGTTTGCTTTCATGCTCTACTTGATGTCGTACACTATTGTTATGGAGGCACTAAATACACAAGGAGCTATTTTAAGGGTTTGCCGTCATCTGCTGGGTGTAGTCCCGATGAATACTGTTTTGGTCATTTTTAGCAGGGTTTTATTAGAAATACTGACATCATGGGAGCAAGTTACCCCTCTGTGTAACTGCAGAAACTAACTGTTTCAACTTCCTCACCCTTGCTAGTCAGCACCATAACTACTTGTTGGATTATTAATATTTCAATTTTGTAAGCTTGTAATGAAAACCATATGTCCAAACTGTAGTGCGGCTACCCACCACTAGTGGGGGCTGTGGCTACAGTTAATGCCTAATGCAATAATGCTGCTCTGCTCTACTACCTGGATGTAAACAAGCACTGATGACAGATGGTATCTCACAGTGTGGTATGATTTGGTCGCATTTTAATCTAGATAATAATTAAAAAGTAGTATATAGGCTGTGTTTGGTTAAACTAGCATATCACTGCTAGACAGGAGTAATGTAAAGGAAGCACAGATTTGATGTTGTTTAAAGATTCAGCAATCCTCTGTTTCTCTAAAATCAAATGCATCCAAATTTAGTGTTTTCTTACCTTAAAGCTCCTGTGGGTAGTTTTCAATGTTTATGAAATAGACTGAAATTCTCACTGATATCTTGTCATAATATACATAAGCAAACTGAACCATTAGTGACAAGATTTACATTATTGTGTAATTTTTAATGCTTTAAACTGGTGTGAGGGGGTAGGTGGAGCAGTCCAGTTTTAACATTTGCCATTTAACATATTCACAGTAAAGATTCAGACTTTCAAATCTTAGCAGGATGAGATTTTTTCAGGGCTGCTTCAAAAGTTCCTTATAGCAGCTTTAAAAGTTAATAAGTCTGAATTAAAATTTCTACTTGAATGACTAGATTATTCAGAAATGTGTGAAAAGTCGTGTAAAAGCTTTTTAAATTATGCAATTCCTAAAAACTTTTTACTTAAAACACCTGTAAAAACTATTGGTTTGTTCTAGTTTTGGTACCCCCTTGTGGATAAAGCTGTTTGTCCCTTCTTGTCATTTTTGACCTATACATGTCCAGGTAGTAGTGTTTGTCCCTTTAACACCACTATTTTTCACCCACAGTGAGTATCTGCCATGGAAATGTTAAAAAAGCAGTTTTTGCACAGTTGCTATTAACTGCCTCATCAGACA